GAACATTTGAAAAACTAGGTTGGCATTGGAACGGAAACAGCCAATATATTTAGCTACCCATGGCATGCCAAGGCCTTATTGAGACAGAAATAAGCACTGTAGGAGGAATCTCAATTAAATATTTTTCCAAGCAGTCAGTTCTGGGCTTTGCCTGAACATGGATATAGAGCTGGGGCGAAGCATAGGACAGGAAGCCAAGAGGATTCTGAGCGGGGCTTCTGAGACATCTTGGGGCTCAGCTGCTTGTATTGTAAAGCTGGTGACCCCAGGGGTAGGGGACTGGCCTACCTCCATGATCCAAAGAGCAGGATACCCTCCTTTCAAGCACGTTCCAGAATCCCCTACATGGGAGGGACCCATCATCTCCTCCACATCTATTCTTAAGTAGTGCCATGTCTCTAAAATATTCTCCTACAAGCTCTACCCGACCATTTCCATTAGTTACCACTGCCTAAGAGTCTTGCCTTCTCAAGAAATAAGGTTTCAGAATGACCTGAGGGGAGACCACGCTTTGGGCATGGAACTCCACACACATCCTGCTTATCTTTGTTAAAATACTCAGTTCTTCAATCCAGAGGCATAGGGATGACTGTCCCAAGTTGACTAGGGTGTGAGGAGGGGTTCCATGCTAGGCAGGCTGAGGATGAAAGGGGCTACCTGGCAGTGCCACAGGCAATCCGGTACAGAAGCCAGATCTGTCTGCCAACACACACATGTGTGAATAATAATAGTATCTCTCCTTTTTCATATTTGGGATCATACTGTCTTGAAAACATCTTTTCTTACTTAAAAATGTATCATCAACATTTTCCCATGTCATTGAGTATTCTTCTACGACGTGATTTTTAACATCTATATCGCATGCTCTCATTTAGAAGTCAGACTTTATTTAGCCAACCTCCAGCTGTTAAGCATTTAGATTGTTTCCTGTTATTATAACGCTGAAATGAACACCCCCAGGGCGCAGCCTTGTGTTCATTTCTAATCATTTCAAGAGACAGAACGGCCTGGCGGTTAAGAAGGGCCTTGCAGCTGCTCTCCCCAAATGGCAACCCCTCAGTCGTTAGACGTTGCTCAAGTGGCAGAGCCTCCCTGGGCCTCATTTTCTTTATTTGTAAAATGAGAATTTACTTGTAAAAAGTATTTCTAGTATTGACCTTATAAGATTGTCCTGAGGATTAAGTACGTTAATAAATGTAAAATGCTTAAAAGAATGCCATCCTTGACATTGTGTTGTTGGTTGAAAAAGTACTCAACAAACTTTAATTATTATGTCTTTAGGGTTATATTCTTTGATGAAGGATTTCTGCATCAGCAATTTTATACATTTTTAAGGCCTCTGAGACAGAGCCCAATTGCCTCTCTGAAGGATTATGCCAATTTACATGCCCACAAGCAATTTATAAAGACGTTGGGTGGTCCACAGTCTTCCAAATCTCTTCTTTTAGAATAGTGAAGATGTTTGCTTTCACCAACCTGGATTTCTCTGTACTGGTGGGATTTAGCACTGATGACCCCTCTTTCTTGAAACCGCAATTCCCTGGCTCTCTCTCTCTGTTCTCTGGGTTCTCTTATATCTCTGACCTTTCCTCCATGTCTCCTGTTGCATCCCCTTTCCTGGGACCAAGTAATGCTGAATGTTTCGTCGGGTCCAGACCTCAGCAGCCTCCTCCTCTTTCACCACATCCTTTTTCTCGGAGGTCTCAGCCTCTCCACCTCCTTGGTTTTCCGACGCTTGTAGTTCTCACTTATCACTAACGTCCTAATTCTGCCTCTCCACGTGGGTGTCCCTTCATCTCAAATCTCCAAGTCTAACACCAAGTCCATCATTCTCTGCTTCTTCTCCTCCACCTCCCGATGCAAGCTCCTGTTTCCATCTTCCTGTCAAAAAGCTTAAGACTTCAAAGACGTCTTGAACTCCTCATCCTCCAACATCTAGGCAGTCATCAGACCCACATATTTTTTCTTGGAATCACCTGAAATGTCGCTCCCTTTCCATACCCAACACTATCACCCTTATTCAAACTTTTATCAGAAGGCAGGCCCTCTTGCCAACCAGCTCTCTCCTCCTGCACACACCTTCCTTTGATCACCTCTGGGACGGATCTCTCAACACCCAGCCCCTCCCCTACTCAAGCATCCTCTGCAGCCCCCATTGCCTGAGTGAAGCCCATACTCCTCCATTTGACATTTAAAGACTTCAAAGAACGGATACTACTCTATATTTCAGCCCTGATTGCTGGACATTTTCTTTTGTGATTTTCTTTGCCTAGAATATCCATTTGCTCTAAATCCTATCCATCCTTCAAGTCATTCTCTTCTCTGAAGCCTTTTCTAGCCCACAGTAATAACTTGTTATAGTTGGGACACTTGGGCTACAGGCAATAGTTTGAGAAATGCTCAAACTGGCTTCAATCGTAAGGACATTCACTCTCTTGCCTCAAAGGAAATCTATGGGTAGAGTAGCCAACAGGGTCAACTCTAGCAAACACTGTTGCTCACCCATATCTATTTCTCTCTTCCCCTTTCCTAGCAAAGCTTCGATTGTGCTCGAGTCTCTACCTCTCCTTCACTCAGCCTCGTGCTCTAGGGAGGCTGACCTCATTTCATAACTGAAGTAAATACTGATTAAGGACACAGGGCCTAAGTTCAAAACTTAGTTCTGCCACTTCCTAGCTGCGTGGCCCCTGGGCAAATCATTTTAACTCTGCATTGCAATTTCCTCACGTATAAAATAAGGACAGTAATAGTACTTCTTCTGGAGCATTGTAACACAAGTGTAGCGCTTAGCACAGAGCCCGGCACATAATTAAAGTGTATGTTTGGAGTGCCTGCTGTTTTGTACCCCAACGAAGATAATCAGACAGTCCTGGCATTCCCATTGTCTTTTGGGGGGTAGCCACGGGATCCAGTGCTGGTCGAAAAGTCATCAGGGCAGGCTGCTGGGGACCTTCTGGGGAGATTATCCTAACTCTTAAGGAGGAGACACGAGGTCTACTGCCCGCTGTTTCCATGGACTCTGCCGTGTCTGATGTCTGATGTCCCGGATGTGCAGCCTGAGCAGGTGGGCCCCAGTGTTGGTTGAAGAACGTCGTCCTGGACCCAGACTCTCTTGTCTCTTTGCTCACCGTGCTTCCGTGTGCTGGTTTCTTCCAAGCAGCAAGTTGACTGTAGCAGCCCCAGTCATCACGTTACAGGCACAACAACAACCAGAGAAATAGGGAGCTTGCCCTTCCCTGCAGCTCTTTAGGAGTGAAAGAAGTTTTCCCACAGGCTGCCCGGAGGACCCCCGTTCCCGCCTCATTAGCTAGAATTGCGTCACCTGAACCAACTAATAGCAAAGGAAATAGGGTTTTCCATAGCCCAATCAGGGCAAGCCTAGGGCGGGGAGAGGGGTCATCATCCCCCGAGGCAAAAACGCAGCAGCATTTCTACTGGCTCCTTTGCCCACTGGAAGTGGTGTGAAGGTGAAGGATTTCCATGTAAGGCTCAAGAGACCTGGGTTCTGGTCCTGGCACTGCTGCTAGCTAGCTGGATGACTTTGAACAAGTCATTTAACTTCTCTCGGTCAGCGTGCTCATCAGTAAAGCAGGAATATTAACCTTGCCTTCTTCTTGTAAGAATCCAATGAGACTACGTAAGGTGGCACTTTGAGAGCTTCAAGCTGTTCTGTAAAGTGCGCGGATTTTAAGGGGCTGTTTCCCTTCTTCATGACTCCGCTCTCAGGCAACGGAGCTCCCCAGCCAACAGCCAGCTCGGGAAGTGGGTCAGGGATGGCTGTTCCCTCCCCTCGGCTGCTCTTTTGGGGCCGCCTCATCTCATAACCCACTGCTGTATCAGCAGCCCCACGAGGGGTCATCTGTCCATCTTCACCTCCATAACCACAGGGCTTTTTTGCACTGGAAAGTCTTTAGGAAGAAAAATGGCCTGCCTCCTTCAGATGTCCAGGCCCTTCTGCCTCAAGCCTCATGTCAGAGGGGCTGGGATGTTACGTTTTTATCTAGAAGGTCTAGGTCGTCTTTCTTTTGACCCAGTCACCTAAGATCTGTAAAGGCCAGACGGGAAGGTTTTAGAAAGCAGCTTTTGAGAGCATGGACTCCAGAATCAGGCAGTGTCTGGGTTAGATGTGGGCCTCAATGCTCAGTAACTGGCTACTCTAGGCAAATTATTTAGTCTCTGAACTAAGTTTCCCCATCTTTAAAATGAGGCTATCAATGTCTACTTCGTAAGGCAGCTCTTAGATAAAACATGCAAACCACTCAGCACTGGTTTGTGCCTGGCACGTAGCAAGAGCTCAAGAAGCAGCGGCTAGGCCTTCCAGTCTATTTATACCGATTGTTGGGAAAAACTAATTCTAGCTCCTATCCATCCTTCGAGGAGGTAAGAGCCTTGGAAAGAGAACAAAGAGGTCTGGATTCCAGTCCTGGTGCTACCACCACAAACAGTGTGGTCTTGGTCACCCCATTTCTCTCTCAGCTTCCATTTCCTGATCCATAAAGTGGTGGGGGGTGCAGGGAGCAGCCCCTCAGACTGCTCCTTATGCCAGATGCTCATGAGTTTATTTTTGTGGCTTCCAAGTGCTTCCGTGACAAGACTTCCCAGAGTGTCCTGTCCATCAGATATTCAGAATCGGCTCCCAGGATGGTCCACGTCCAGGCACTTGCTCCAGGGAGTTCCTCACCATTTTCGGGCACAGACACTGCATCTCCAGATCGGCGCTGCTGCTACCCTTTCGCTTCTATCCAGGGCTCCTCCTGGGTTTCCATCCCCACCCCATCCCCCAGGCCTCTGTGTCCTTTCACTTTCTTGTCTCCTGCCAAAATTCCTGGCTCCCTAAGCCAGGTAGGAAAGCAGTTTAGTTCGACCCAATCTGGCACTTTCTCAGAACCTCCCCTGCCTCTGGCACATTCCTTGTGTTTGGGCAGAACCCAGGGAGCTAGAGAATTCCTCTCCCTCCTTAGCGTGGGTCCCCGTGTTGGCATGCCAACAGCCCCAAATATTTAAAGCAATCATGAAAATGAGCTCAGAGTCCCATGCCAGGGCCTTGAAAGGAATTAGGCTAAAAACAGGACAAAGGAAGAGGTGAGGCCAGACAGAAAATGCCATGAAAGGCTCTGCCCAGCACTGCCAGGACCCAGATCCCTCCTCACTGGTTTCATTCATCTGTAGCCAGGCACTGTGCTGGGCACCAGGGAGGCTAAGCTAAATGAATCATTGTGCCTGCCCTCGAGGAGCAATCAGTTCAGCGGGAGAAGCTACACAGACAATCAGAGTACCGAATGGTAAGTATGGGCAAGACGTCACCAAAGGCACAATGGAGCCACAAGGAGGGGGGTGTCACCTCGGCCAGGGAGGTCAGCAAGGCAACTCCTAGACCACTGGCCCAGGCCTGGCTTGGGACAGGCGTTTACCAGGGGACAAGGTGGAAGATGTGCTCCCAGGCAGAGGGGAAACAGCAGATGCCAATGCACAGGCGCCTGAGGCAGGGTGGAGGAGAGGGAGAGAGTGCTCATGGGTAGCTGCCTGGTAAACAGTAAAGACCCGGCGTCTCTGTTGGGCGTGCTTCTGCACGTGTAACGCACAAGACAGAGAACGAAGGTAGCCTTACAATTTAAGATTTTTTTTTTAAAATGTTGACAGAGGTGGACATTTGGATGCTTGTGGACAGAAGGAAAATCTTGAGCAGAAAGCCTTTATCAGAAGGGCCTTTGAGTGTGAGCCAAGCACCGTGTGTGTGTAGGGAGGGCAGTGAGGCTGTGTGCCCACGAAGCAGCACCTTTCCTGTGATCAGTCCAGGGAGGCTGATCCCCTGCTGCAGGGGAGATGGGATTTCCCAGGTCACTTATGTGATGGAAGAGAGTCGGCTTGGCAGACTGGGAGAACTGGCAGTCCTCCAGGCACCTGGCACTGCACAGGGAAGGTGCCAAGGTCTAAAGCAGATGCCGAAGTGAGTGAGTTGTGATTAAGGGAGCCCCAAAAGGAGATGAGAGAGGTGGGGCAGGCCCAGCGCCTGCTCCTGCCAGAGTGTTTCCAAGTCTTCACCACAGGGGTGGAGAGTAGCTTTGACCTGAATCTTGGTGTGCTGGGTAGTCACAGAGAAATTTCTTTTGGAAAGAAATGAGCAAGATGAAAATGACGCAAGTGAAATGATCATCAGGTGCTGTAAAAAAGGAAACCTGTTATGACCAAAACATCTGCTAATAACAGTGCTGGTAGCAGCAGTATCTTTATTTATTTAAAAGGTTCTAACATTTACTAAGCACCTACTGTAAGGCTGGCTATGTTAAGCCTCACAGGCACTTAATCTTAACTTCACAGGCACTGAATCACAACAACTTCAAGAGATCAGTATCCTTATTAATGCCATTCTACAGAGGAGGAAATTTCTCCTCAGAAGCCTAAATGAAGGTCCAGGATGCCCTAAAATCAAGCAATGTGCATTTAAAAAGTGAAAGTGTTAGAGGCTAACTTGTGTCCATCCCTCCCTTCAAATTCATATGTTGAAGTCCTAACCCCCAGAACCGCAGAATGTGGCTGTATTTGGAGATGGAATCCTTCAAGTAATTAAGTTAAAGTGAGATTAAGGTGGCCCCTAGTCCAATAAGAGAAGGAGATTAGGACACAGGTACAAAGGGAAAACCATCTGAAGACACAGGGAGAAGATGGCCATCTACAAGCCCAAGAGAGAGGCCTCAGAAAAAATCAAACCTGTCAGCACTCTGTTCTTGGACTCCCAGCCTCCAGGATTTTGAGAAAATACATGTGTGCTGTTTAAGCCACCCAGGCTGTAGCGTTTGTCACGGCAGCCCAAGCTGACTAATGCAGGGAGCAGTGGCCCAGGGGTGCCTTAGAGGAGCTAGGTGAATCGAGTCTGCAGGAAGCAGGCGGTGCCCATTCTGGGGAGCTGACCACCACATGCCTTTGCTTTGTTCTTGGCTGTAGGGAACTGGAGCACATCTTGGCATCCTCATCTGAGCGCTGAGCGTGACCAACCTCAGATGGTCCAGAGTTGTGTCGCAACAGTGCCACTGATGAGTGTCTTCCTTCACAAGATCTGGACTTGAAATCAATAGATTTAAAGAGATTAAAGCCCTAGATAGAAAATGAGCAAAGCCACCATAATCTTTCCTTTATATACCTTTATACGCCAGACCTCCAGGAGAGGTGAGGTCAAGGGGGCAGATCAATATCTGCTCGAGAAGCAAAACTGGTACGCTAAAGGAATTCACACTCTCACCTGGAATAGATCGGAGTCCAGAGGATGGACCCTCATGAGAGACATCATTAGGATTGGTCTGTAACGAGGTCAGCAGTCACTGTGTCTGGGCTCTTGAATTCTTCGAAGCAAGTTAATCATTAAAGGGAAGAGGCAAAAATATAGTCTTGAAGTTTGGTTAAATTAAAATTGGTCTAGTCAGAGAGTGGGTTGGGGAAGAGGGTTTCAGGAATTCAATCTGAGGAGACCCAGGTTGCCCTGGAATCTGTAGTTAATCTGGAAATTACCAGAGAAACAGACAGAATGAGGGCTCCAGTTTTCAGGATGGTGGGGTATAGAGATGGAGGAGTCAGGGAGAGGCATCTGAAACTTCAAGAAAGTTGGATTTCTGTGCTGAGAATAGACTTTAAAATAGGTACAGGCTACTAGGACAAAGGGAAGGCTAGCCAGAGAAATATGGAGGACGTCCTGGAGGAGGCACTCTGCAAGCTGGGCTCTGGAGGAAGGAGGATATGAAGCTCAAAGAACAGCCGAGGGTAATTTTTCCCGTAGAAAGTGTGAGAGAGAAATTCAAGACAGTTCAGGGGCAGCAGGCAGGAAGTCCCCCACGAAGAGTTTAAGGCTGGAAGGGAAGTATTGGGCAGCACCCTAGAGAGGGGTGTGTGTGTGTGTGTGTGTGTGCGCGCGCACACGCATGTGCACACACTCTGGGACTTTAATGGGGAGGATCACTTGATCAAACATCTCGGGTGAGAAGAGAAACTGTTAGAGCCAGAGCTAACAACAGTGAGTTGTGGAGAGGGCTGGGGGGACGCAGCAGGCGCCTTCCATGCTGGGAGGGGGGCAGGGATAAGGGGTCATGAAGGAGGCCTGCTGGAGTGTCAAGTTGCAGCTCAAGTGATATCCAAGCATCTCGTATTTCTATTTTATCATTTCCACACTTACTTCCAGCAAGCAGAGCACGCCATCTGCACAATGTTGGGCCAAAGAAACAAAACCCAAGAGGAAATTGCACTACGGGGCAGCATAATCGGTCCGATACGCCTGGGATATTAGCTGAGACATGTGTGTCTTCACTTATCTCAATATTAACATCCTGATTGTTTCGAAGCAGGACGTTTCCCATTTGGCCTGGCCAAGAGGCAGCTCCAAAATCAGCCATGAAGTGGCAGCTTTCCGGTCTCGCCGAACTTCTCTCCCCTGCTCCTAAATCACGTTTCTCCCCAGTCGCTGCAGATAATTCTCACGTGTTGACAGGTTATACACTTCAAGACAAGACACCAGCAGCAGTCTGGGTCTGAACAAGAACCAAAAGTGCAGCAAGGAGGCAACGTGAGATGGATGTTAAGTGACAGGGGCAGAAGGTGACCTGCCCGCCTTCCCAGCTGTCTCTCTCCTTGGCCAGCTGACATGTCTTCTGCAGCCCATGGGGGCAGTGGCCCATCTCAAATAAGTCATGCAAACTCCTCAAGCCTTAGTTTCTTTCTATGAAAAGCAGGCTCAGCAATGCCTACCTTGCAGGGCAGTAGGAAAAACTCCTAATACAATGCTAGGCACACAATATCCACAGTTTCAAGAAATACTTTGAGTAATAATACTCATAGCGAAGGCTTGTATGGTGCTTACGACATGCCAGGAATGGTTTTAAGTACTTCATTTATATGACTGATTTAATCCTTCATAACCCTATAAGGTGAATCCCATTACTGTCTCCACTTTACGAGGAGGACGCTAAGCCACAGAGAGGTTCTGTAACCTGCCCATGGTCACAGAGCTGGGAGACCAGGGATTCAAGCTCAGGCAGTCTGGCTCCAGAGGCTGGGTGTGAATAGATAAGTGAATTAATTAAAAAGCTGGTGTATTGGTGTATGGATGGACAAAGAACGTGGATCCTCTTGAGCTTCAGTAAGGGGCAGGTTATCTAAGCAGCACACTGACAACCTGACAGCTGGAAGCTCTACTCCCTGCCCTGTGGGGCCTGGGCACCACAGCCAGTCATCTAATGCTGCTGTGCGGTGGCCTCACCCGCTCTGAGCCCCCTTACTGACACAAGGACAGTACATGCTATAATCTGGAAATGTAGAACTGGAAAGGACCCAGAGATCACCTAACCCCTGACGGTACGTTTGAGGGAACTGAGGCAAGAGAGGGGACGTGACCAGCCCAGGGCCATGCGGCGCCTGAGACGGGACCCACGTCCTTGCCCAGCACTGTTTTCATGACACCATATGTCCTCTTCTTCGTGCCAGGAAAGTTGAGTCTGAAAGTTGGAAGAGCAATTACAGACAAAACAGCAAGGCTTCTGAAGAAGAGCTGAATGCATGAATACACGGTAAGCTGCTTTACAATGAGGTCTTCCCTTCTTGCAAGTTCCTATTTATGTGAGTCTGATGAAGTCATCAGGCTCTGCCTCTTCTCCCGCCTTGAAGGCACAGGGAGGCATGGAGGGCACAGGACACTGGTACAGAATGCACCCTCCTCGACCAAACAGGCCATTTGCTGTTCCCCAGCCATCACAGCCAGCACGCACTTTCTGGTCTTGAGGTACCTTAGGCCAGTGTGTAAAGTTCTGGCTCCAGCATCAGCCAGGCCTAGGTGTGACTCTCCATCCTCAGCTCACTGGCAGGTGACCTTTGCCAAGTACCTTAACAGTCTCCCTGTCTCCATTTTCCCATTTATCAATCGGGGATAAGAATCCCCTCCTTGTGGGGTTATATAAATGAGATTAACACATGCACAGAAAGAATTTAGCAGAGGGCCTGGTACTCAGTAAACGGGAGCTAGGATTGCCTACCTGGGAGGTCTTATTCCACATGCCGTCCTGACTTATGGTTGTTTTGGTTTTCGTCTTATCTGCCTCCTAAGGAGATGCCTATCTTACTGGCAGGATCTGGGCCAAGTTCATCTTTCCACTCCTGCTGCACCCAGAGCCCTGCACAGACTCGGTGCTCAGTGAGCATGTGTTCAGTGGATTCAATCGAAGTGAGCAGGACACAAACAGGATGAGTTCACTGTAACCAGAAGCAGGGGTTACAGATTGTGTAAAAAGCCTGCGGTGACTGCCTTTCTAAATAGGCTTCAGCGGTTCTGGGTAGGAATGGAGGCGGGGCATGGCTCACCACTCTCATTACTCATTTTCTTATGGGTGATGAACACAGTAATGATCACCTCCTCCTGTACAGGACTTCAAATAGTCCGTGTCGGGCTCTTCACACTCTCAACCTCATTTCATGCTTACTGAGGTAGACATTATTATCCCAATTTGAGGACAAGGAAACTGAGGCTCAGAGAGATTATGTCACTTGCCAAAGGTCAGAGGCCAAGTGCACAGCTGAGGTGCGGTATGAACGCAGGCCTGTTTGACTCCCAAGTCCACGCTCTATGCCCGGAAGCCTAAAACTGCCTCCCACGTCGGCCCTGCGCCTGTTTCTGTGTGGCCATCAAGCTAAAGGGGGCTTTTACACTTTTAAATAGTTGGGGGGAAAAATATCAAAAGATGACTAATATTTTGTGACACATGAAAATTATATGATATTCCAGTTCCAGTGTCCATGAATAAAGCTTTATTAGAATGCAGCTACATCTCGTCATGTATGTATTGTCTGGCTGCTTTTGTGCTGTAACAGAGGAGTTGGAGTCTTTTCAGGAGAGACTGCATAGCCCTCAAAGCATAAAATATTTACTATCTGGCTCTTTACAGGAAGAGTTTGCTGACCCTTGCCCAATGCCCTGCTGCTTCTTACCGATTAATGTCCTGCAGAGAAAACACCCCCTTCTCTAAAAGTATTGCTGCAGAAAGGACACCCGCTCCTGCAGCTAACAGTACTGACCCCGGATTCTGACTCTCCTCTGCGTGCCCAGCCAGCCCTGGGTTCTCACACCTACCACCCACCTCCCGGAGCAATTTGAAAGGCAGAGCTGGGGGCAGCCTCTGGACTCCGCCAGGCACGGACAGGCCAGAGCAAGCCTGGAAGGAGAGGGAAAGGGATTTAGACCCAGAAGTCAGCTTGACTTCTTTAATACCCTCACCCCCTTGATTCATGGTTTCCTGCCACATCTTGTTCAGCTGTGGACGTGCCCAGGCCCCAGGCAGGGACAGGCAGGCCAGAACCGATGAAAGCACAGGGGCCCCGTGCCCCACTGTCTTATCCGGCTTCCACCCTGGAGGTGGATAGAGGCCAGCTCAGAAGAGCCTCTGGAGGAGGGGATGGGGAATGGGGGCTCTCAGGCTATTTCCTCTTCATCCTCATCTTGAAACAAGAGCTTGGCCTGGCGGCTGTATCCCCCACCTGCCCCACACACCTGCAAAAAGCAGGCCTCTCCTTCACGTTGCGTAATCACCCTGGGAGAGTCTACAACACCCTTTGTCCTTCCATTGCCCCCTGGGGGGTGAGCTCCAAACAGCAGATTTTGTTCTTTGTGGCACTCCTTCATTCAGCAGATTTCTGAGCATCCGCTGTGTGTCCAGCTCTGTAGAGACATGAAGGAGGTAAAAGTAATGGAGGCTCTTTCTATTTGTTTCAGGACACAAGATACACCAAATGGAGAAGCTACAGAACAATCCCAGCACATTCAAATTCTCGTACAAATGCTGAGTGCCAGTCACACACTTGGCATGCTCCAGATACTTCCACATCCGTGCTTTTACTTAAGCCACAAAACACTTTGGTAGCCTGGGTATCCTTAGACCCATTTTTACAAGTAAGGAAACTGAGACTGAAAGTTTGCTTGATCAAACGGCTGTTAAGAGGTGAAGCTAGGCTTTCAATGCAGGCCTCTGGTTCTAAAACCTGTGCATCTTTAAGAAATGGGATTACCTCCCACAAGGTACAGTTGGGTGCCTGAGTGGGTACAGGTTGGTGATGTTGAGACAAATTTCTTACAGAAAAAAAGTCTTAACTGAACCCTGATGCAGCAGCAGAAAGCGCACCAGACTAGCAATCAAAAATTCTTCTAGACCCAGCTCTGCCTTTTAATGAGTGATATGGCCCTGGGTGAGATTTTTTTTTTTCTTCATCCCTGGGCCTCAGTTTCTCCTTCTGTAAAACTACAGTGGAGAAGCTGGACAAAGTGATCTCAAAGTACCACCCAACTTCATTGCCTCTCTCTGAATCTGCTTCACGGCTGCTGCACTTAGGCACAGGATTCATCATTCAGCTCTGGCCCTGAATCACAAAGCTCAACCCTAATGCCTGTATCAGAACCTTAAAAAGACAGAGAAGCCCTAGTGAAACTCAGGTAGTTGAGCTACATTGGTTCAAAACACAAAACTAAATTTTAAGGGAAAAATGGAAACCAAAGATGTTATATAGATGCTATCTTCCCCTCCTAATTTCATCTTGCTTGGCTTTTGTGGAATTCTTTCTAAGAATAACTCAAGCTTCTGTTTAAAACTTGAGTTTTCAGAGCGTCCTGCAGCCAAAAACAAGAGACAGGCATGTTGAAAAGGAAGCTGGTTAGGGCTGGCCAAAGGAGGACTGAGGCTTGAGGAACGGGGAGGATTTAGGCAAAGTGTGGGTGAAGACTTAACAGAAGGAAAGGGAGAAAGGAAGGAAGGAAAGATGGAAGGAAGGAAAGAAGAAAAAACAGAAAGGACCCTAAGGATTTGGGGGGAAATAGTGAGGTTACCAGTTGACTTTGATGGGAATTACCAGGGGGTTAAGAAGGAAAAACTGAAAATATGAGTGTCCTGAATGCTTTCAGTGAATTAAAAATGTGACTTGACATCCTAGTAGCAACAAGCACACCTAGCACCCAAATCTTGGTCTCTAATACCATCCTTGGTATTAGCAGGAACTTGGGCTTCCTGGAGAATGGCTGATTCTACTGCTGCAGCAATAAATAAATAAATTAATTAATTAATTAATTAATTACACACACCCACACCCACACAAGATAAACATCTTAGAATGCCAGAAAGTAAGAAAGTGCTCAAAAATTTTTTTAAAAGTTTAACCCACATTGATGAAAGTATGTTATAGGGACACAGGAGCCAAACAAAAGAGCTCCCAATGGACAAAGCTGGAAAAATCTTTGCAAACAAAGTAAGTAAAGTGATAATGATTTTTAAACCAAAGTAAACAACAAATATCTGTAAGTCTATATTGTTATAAATATATAATATTCTAAAAAATAAATGAATAAGTAAATGAGGAGGAAGAGTAAAATCTCTTATAGATGAATTCCAAATAATTTATATAGAAACTCCTCCCTTAAGAAAGGGGAGCATAACCATCAATTCCTTAATGTGAGCTGTGTATAATGACTTTCTTTCAAAGAATACAGAATGAAAGTGCAGGAAAAGAGTAATTTTATAGCGGAGAAACTTGACAAGCACAACTGTCTTCTTGCTGTGTCCTCACATGTCTTGTCCTCTTTTTATAAGGGCACCAGCTCCATCAAATCGGGGTCCCACTTTTATGACCTCTTTTAACCTTTATCACCTCCTTACCGATCCTGTCTCTAACATATGATTTTGGGAGGACACAAACATTCAGCCCCATGACACTTACATACAAACCAAATAGCATACTAAATATGCATACTTATGCATATATATGCATATAGCATACTTTTTTTAAATCTCATGGGCTGAAAAATAGTGATAAAAGAAGAAAAATAGGAGCAAGACCATTCATGGAATTTTAGATAGAGATATATGTGTAATAACATTATTGTAATACAAAGGATTGGAATAAACCCAAGTATTCATCAATAGGATGTTGACTTAAATAAATTCTGATAGATGCACACAATGAAAACATTATGCTGCTGTTAAAAAACAAGAAAGAGGATGCTCTCTGCATAACACTCTGGTAACATCACCAAGGTGTATGGTTAAGTAAACAAGTTGGTGCACTATCTATTTAACTTGCAGAATATTTGTGCAAAAAAAGATGACGTGGCAGGGGAATAAGTGTATTTGCATTTTTATCATATGTGCATAAAAAACTTGGTAAGTTATACAAGAAACTGATAACTTTTTAGCAATGAGAAAGGGAGTAGAATCAGGATAATGGGGGCAGGGCAGGGGGCAGAATTCTGACTATGTATCATTTCCTATTGCCTTTTTAATTTTTGAATCATGTAAATGTAGTATTTATTCAAAAAATAAATTGAACAATGGAATAAAATGTGGTGATTTACAGAAAATCATTAACTTAAATAATAGCGAGGTGATATGTGGCTATGGCAGCAGTCATGAAGGTCCTGTGCAAATGACAGGTGCAGAGAAGCTCTTTTAATTGCCTGCCAATGGTGCCTTGGTCTGGCTCCGACTGATTGATTAGTTGATTACTGATCGCCCTTTAAATCTTATGTGCTGGAAAATAAGGTGATAAGAGAAGAAAAAAGACAGAGAGACTATTACTAGATTTTCATATGGAGAAGAAACTGAGAGAGGTTCTAACTCAGCGCCCTCAGCAAACAAAAGAAAGCGTAGGGGAAGGAAAGCTCAAGGCGTGTCAAGGCTCGCTGGCAGGGCTGAGACCTCCCTGAGCCCTGGGCCTTGCTCTTTTGGCAGCTCTGTCTCCCATCAAGCATGTCCGAATGCACCCGCGTTGAATAAAGTTTGTTCGTATGATCTCTAAAGCATATTTCTAATTTTGCCTTTGAAGTGGTTTGACTATTAGTAATTTATTAAATTAATGGTTGCTTATGATTCCTGGGTATTTTAATTGTGTTAAATTAAATTAATTGTGTTCCCCAGGGAGTCCTGCAAAATACGAAAACCTCAACTAAAAGTTGTTTTCATAGGAAAATTCTAAATGCTAAATTTCATAGTTAATGAAGATGACATAAGGAGAAGTTCCAATTAAACATATATTAATTTTGATCTTGCAGTTTCCTTTGGTATCTTCTTTTTTCAGGACTTAAAGTTTCCTAACGCCTGCAAAGCTCATAAGTAAGAGGCACTATGAGCTAGTGGCAGCAGAGGTAGAAACCCACACCCTGACCAATGTACCCTCTGAGAACGCCAGTCCTCAAAAGGGAAGACAGAGACCCCACACTCCCATCATTGGCCTTGTCAACCAGAGTCCATCTCCTGCCCACAGGCGCTGCTAAGCAGATCGTGGAGGTGATGGGACCCCACGGGGCCTATCCCCCGCCCATACACCATTCCTGAAATAGCCTGCTGTGCAAGGGGCAGCCCCTCCCTCTTCCAGTGCCTCCCTTCCATCAACCCTTCCAGCAACTCCATAAATCACCGAGGCTCTGCACAAAACCCCCTTCCAAGGTTTCCCAGAAAGGATCACTATGAAGTAAAACACATGGGGAAGGGTGGTGCTTCTTAGAGGCTGGCCAGGCATGAGGAGAGAGAAACCAAGAATGTAAGCTAGGGACTGCAAGCTGATGCCTACCAGGCCTTTGTCTTCACTATCAGAGCTCTTGGGCAGCCTCATTTTCATTTCCACTTGAGGCTGGGGGTGGGGAAGAGGGAGAGCTTTGGAGTGGGGTTCAGTATCCATACAGATGAAGGTGAGTCAAGGCTAGAAGCAGCCAGACGACCAGGACGAAAAGCCTCTGGGTCACAGAGTTCCAACTTCTCTTCACTTTAAGGACCCAAGAGATGACTACAACGCAAGACAAAGAGTCTAAATGTCTGTTTTTTGTGATTGCTTTTGTTTTTGTTTGCTTCAGGATTTTCTGTGACTAGAGATAGTACATTTTGATTTACAATGTTGTACTAGTTTCTGGTGTATAGCAAAGTGACTCACTTATACATACAAAAGTATATATATATATATAAAATTATACATATATCTACCTTCTTTCATATTCTTTTCCAATGAATCTGTCTGTTTTTACAGGATGTGGCAGCACAGGGCCTGCTACATAACTGCCCCTTCTCCTATACTTCAAGGAGAACACAGGAGACAGAGCTATTTAGTTAGTTATGTACTTACCGTCCCTAGTATGTACAAATGTCAATGCATTATTCATTTACTGCATCTTTTATCCACTTAATTAATTCCTGTACTTGCTCAGTGCCTAGACTGTGTCCCTCAAGCCCATCCAGCACAGGCCCCCTGCGTTCCCATAAGGCACTGGCCTTAGCTTAGTCCATGCAAATACAATAATAATAATCATAACAACAACAACAACAGTTAACACTCATAGGCTTCTTTTTTTTCCAGTGGGCTTCTTTCTTGTGCCAGTGATTTTGCTAAGCACTCCATTTTTGTCCCATTTAAATTTTGGAGCAACATGCTGAGATAAGGATTGTTATTATCTCCATTTTACAGATGGGGAAACTGAGGTCTGGAGAAAATAAGTATCTTTTCCAAGTCACACAGCTAGGGAAAGCCAGAGTCAGAAAATCCCAGGTAGTCTGGCTCGAGCTCACCCTTTGAATCAGTCCCACTTACTGCCTTAACTGGCTTCTGATGCTATTACAGGCTTGCTGGTGACCTGTGCTCATGCTCATCATGGGTTAAGATAAAAACCCTCCACTGGACTCAGAGTGGTCATTCCTAAAGCACCTGTGCTCAGGGGCAACACATCTCCATTCTAGCTCTGCGCCCCTGCCCCATCATGCTTTCATTAACAAGCAGCTGGCACTAGCTTAGCTTTGCACATCCTCTCCTTTGAGTCTCACAGCCTCCCTCTGAGTTGGGCAGGGCAGGCCTTTTATCCCCACTCAGCATATGGGGAAACTGAGCATAACCAGAGTAAAGAGACTCGTCACAGGGCACTGCAAGCATTTGGTAGGGTTGCAACTCTAGCCCAGTTTCTAGAGCAAAAGCCATCTCCTATTGCTGGTACTGCATCTCAAAGTCATGATGAGGAAGGAAGGGAGACTCTCTAGGGTCCTTGGTCTATGGCTTGTCCTCACAATAGCGGTCAAGGGGTTAAGGGGTTAAGGAAAGAGTCTTTCCAGCTAAGACTCTTCCCTTAATTATCTGTTCCTTCAGGTTATGCAGTTCCCAAAATTGGTCTTATGCTCAAAGCACAAATGTCCCCCTGAGGAGAGTAACACACTAGCTTCCTAATCCTTGTTGAGAGAGTTCACGGCCCCCTTGCAACAGAAAGGAGACTACTGAGCTACAAGTGAGGCAAGGGGACAGGGGTGAAAGAGACAGCTGAAGGGAGGTAAGGAGAAACTTCTTTACCGTTCTACCAAAGTTGGTCCAGCACACTACAGGCAGCCTGCTGAGTTCAGGGAATGGGAGATGGAGGCCACCATCTTTTCTCTGATCTTCTCTTCTGCTCTCTCTCCCTCACACTCATTCTGGTTGATCTAGTAGTGTTAAAGGATGCCAGGACTCAAGAGGAGGTTCAGGTGATCTGGGTGGGGTTCATGGGGCTTTTTGAAAGGAAAGCAAGAGGCAGTAAATGAGGCAAACTATTCACCAGGGTCTTTGGAGCCAAAGGAATAATCCCAAAGACAAAATTCTCAAAGAAGTTCAGCATTTTTCAGCACAGTCAGCTTACTAGCTACCCGATGTGACCTTGAGCAGATTGCCTCATTCTCTCCAAACTCAGTTCTCTCAAGTGCAAAGTGAAGCTGGGAAGAGATATACCACCTCAGTATTGGGTGAAGATCAAATGAGACAATCTAAGTTCTCTGTAAACTCTAAGCCAACAGAGAGATGTCATTACTCCTCACTCACTATTCACCTTTACCCCTAACTGTTTGTTGTACTCAAAGTGAGTACCAGATTCTGCCATTAAATTCTTTTATTGGAAGAGATAAAAAAGGCAACACAAATTGAAAAAAAAAAGTTAGCATAAGAGAGCAGGTTTGGAGAGACAGTCCTGAACTGAAGTCAACAGCAGCCTTTACAAAGAAATGCCAAGTTCTCTAACCTTTGCACCACACCTCAAAGGGCAATGGCCTCTGACTCATAGGTAATACAAATATTTTTTACTCTAGTATATTTCTTTGTTCAATACATTCATCCCATTTTCCCTGGGCCGTCTCCATATTTATCGATATTATGGCTTCCTTTTAAACAGTAACCTGAGTAATAAAAATATCACAGGCACTTATTTAACAAGCCAGTTTCTGGAGTGAACCTCATAATTCTGTACCCGTGGCTGACCTCAGATCCATTCTTTCTGAGCCTCTGCATCGGTTTTGTTAAGTCCCAAAGGGCAGAGACTGTCATTTACCAGTGTATCGTCAGGGCACAACACTCAGAAAAGATGCTTGCTAATAAATGGGAAATAACAGAAAGTCTGAAAACTTGTTTCTTAAAGGACTTAACACTTTGTCCCCAACATCATTTCACAACTTCAACCAGTTGCATAATTCCCACCCCTCCTTAAGAAATTCCTGCCACATCAGTTTTCCCATAGTGAACTTTTCTGACACCCCCGGACTGGATTAAGTGGCCCTTGGTTGTGGTTCCACAGCTCTCAGACCAGACCAGCACTTACCTTATATTCTGTTTGTTGACTTTACTGCTAGTCTCCACTCCCCAGCTCCCAGCAAAAAGTTTGCCCCTTTCCTTGAGGACAAGGGCTGTGTTCTCTTCTCTTCTGTGTTTCCACCATAAAGACCAGTGATCAACACTAAGTCAGCAGTGGTTAAATAAATGAACCACAAAGGGTATGAAATGGGATGGGACGGGTGGTAAACACTTTGGGATGGGAGAGGGAAGAGATCCCTCTGTGATGTTTTAGTATAAGGACTCTCTCATCCTACAGTGAGTCACATGACTGTGTGTGGTTTGTTTTCAAGGAATGGAAATTTTGATCTTGTCTGTGGTTTGAGGGTTTTAAGAAATTATTTCAAGGAGCGGGCATCAAGAGATGTTCCTTTTAATGCTGTGGAAGTGTCTCAGTTTTTCATATCAATTTTGACATCCTGAAGCAGGTGTTTCAGTTGGCTCATGCCACAGGATCACTCACACTAAGATTGTATTTCTTTACATAGCAAATTGTCATAAATTGTATTACTGTTCACCACTACCTGGTTACCTCCTGTAAGGAGATCATGCTTAACCACATTGTTGAACTCTATATGGCCTTGTGACTTACTTTGCCAAGTAATATGGGCAGAAGTGATCAGACTCATCTCCAAGTGGATGCTGTAAGACCAGGTGTGTGCTTCAAATGCCCAGGTTCCCGAACAAAGACGAGAATGATAGGAGCAGAGCCCCAGCTGACCCCCAATGGACGCTGAGTGCAGGCAAGAGGTGATCATTCTTTGTTGTAGCCACATAACTTGGGAGTTTTTGGTTTGGGAGTTGTTGCTCCCACATAACCTGGCCTTTCTTGGCTCATGTCCAGATGCCCACATGTCTCTCGCCTTTTTTTAATCAATGAAAGTGTCCACACACAACTAGGCTGGTTTTGTGATTTTAAGAAAACATACTTCTTTATAGCTCTGTGGGCCTCAGTTTCCATGTCTGTAAAGGAAAAGAATAATAACATAATATCAAATGCTAATTAAATGCTTATCATGTGTCAGCTGAGCACTTTAGAAAGAGTATCTCATTTACCTTTACGACAACCTTATGAGGTAGGTATTATTATTATTATCCTCATGATACAGACAAGGGAACAGAGGCCTGGAGGGGTTAGGAAACTTGCCCAGGGAAGTAAAGATACTAAGAATAATGAATGATGGAATGCAAATGACCTGACATCAGATCCTAGTCTCTTGATTTCCGTGCTGCACCTATGGGGTCATCTCTGAGATCCTGTCCATCTGGGACCCACTAAAACTCTGTGACATTGCTATATGGTAACAACTGCCCTAGGTCTTCTATTTTGAAACCAAGACCTGTTTGTTTCCACCACTACCCTACTCTTGGAGGGTTAAGAAAATCATTTGTGCTGTGCTTTGAACATCTTGGAGGAAGCCATCAGAGAAAGGGAGTGGATGCCCCAGTCCACAGAGGAGGATGTGCCTCCCCCGGGTGCAGGGGGTCTGCTCCAGCTACTCTCCTCTCCAAAGTCACTGTCTTGCTGTGTGAGAAACGTGCCGCCAAAGCAGAAAGCATTCCTGCTCCCGCTGGGAGATTTTCATACATAGATGAAAACTGCCTCCTGGAGAAAGGTAGCCAGGTGGGGGCCTCTCCTGAGGGAGGCTTGGATGAGGAGGTGTGGTCTCATCATGTGGCTGTGGACTCAGGTTTGCAGTCCCAGGTTCCAGGGAATTTTGTTCATTTTATCCTACTAATCCTCTTCAGCCCCCTAAGAAAGGAGCAAGTCATGAGAATTTTCCCAAGAATGGATTCCCAGCTTCTTTCATAGATGACATTAGTGGAACACACACAGATGTCACGCATCTTGAGCCCAGTTAGACCTTGCAGTGAAACTGCATCCATCTCCCTTCTTCTGTCAGCAAAAAGGCTGTTCTGAGAAGACATTTTCATTCTCCATGGCCCTCTCTCTTGATGACCTGGCTCGACAGAGTGGGAAAAAAGCTCAAGAATCCAACTGATCTGAAAAGAAACTTGTTCTTTCCAAGGAACAGAAATGCCAAACTAAGGGTTCCAGAGTCTCTCAGCCCAAGGGTGGTAAGGAATCTCTCACCCATAAACTGGTGCCCAAAATAACCCTGAACTCCTTCCAAGGCTCTTGCAGATTCAATTCTGGGTTCTTGTCATGGAAAGGGCCCTGGATTAGACTTTTGCCTCTGTCATCATCTAGCTGTATGACTGTGGGCAAGCCACTTCACTTCTCTGGATCTGCATCGCCTTCTCTTTGAAATGCAGTTGGATGAGACAACCTCGGAGTGTGGCCCCAGCAGCAGTATGATTCCAGGATGCCATGAGGTCTGTGGTTCCGGGACGGTACTGGCATTACTGTCTTGCCTGACCGTTGGAAAGAACAGCATCATTGGTTTACCTCTTCCCATCCACTCAGTTCTCCCTAAGTGTTATCTGGAAGTCTGATTTTTCTTAACTTCTGCCCCTCTACCTACCTTCCAGCCACATCCAAGTCTCCTCCTGCCCGCAATACCAGTGTGTACAACCTGTGGAGGGGAAGTACAGATGGATGCCACCAAATGTCACTGGCCACTTTGTTTTGATCCTCAGCAGCTCTGGCAAAGGACATGGTAGAACTGCTGTTGGGGTGTGTATGAGAATTTCCCTCATCTACCTCCCTATCTGCCATTAGCTGAGTTCATGGAGATTTGGTTCCATTCTAGCACCTCTAAAAGAGCAGAGTTGAAGCATGAGAGGGACAAGACAGAGTTTTTTTTTTAGGGTCTTAAGCAATATGATTTGAGTAACCCCTCGTGTTTTTCTAGAAGAAAGTGTCCCACCAATAGCCAATGTTCAATGACATCAACAAATCAATCCCTTGCTCAAGATCCTCTGACCACAACCCCAGTGCTTTCCATTCAGATTCTCCTCCCCATGCCTTCCTTTGGGCCATTAAATTCTTACTCCCTTCCCAGTGTCCTGCAGCACCTCCCCCTACCCCCAGCTGATCTTGGCCCTGACTCATTGGTGCTGACTCAAAGAAAAGCAGACCCCTCAGGCGGCCGGAGGGTGGACCTGGGCCAGAGCCTGCAGAAATGGGCGGGAGGGCAATCAGAGGCCAGGAAACCATCAATCAGCCTGTCACCAAGTCTTTGCTGATCCCCTCCCCCACTCCCTACCGGGACTTGGTCCCATGCCGAGCTGCGCAGTGGGGTCCCAGAAAAGGAAGGGGAGAAGACAGGAGTCTTTATTTAGTAGCAACTAAAGATGTAAAGTTGGAGCTCTTTCCTTTTGGGGGTCCCCAAGTATGCTAACCCACCATCACTCACAGGAGGAAGGTTTGAGTACTGCCAGTAAAGGCTGCCACAGTGGAGTTTAGGGCAGGCTGGAAAGGGCAGCCAGGTAGGGTTTTGAAGCTGTATTTACAAAGCTTCAGATGTAAGATTATGTCAGTTGTTTATAAGAGAGAGAGAAGTCAAATGAAAATTATGGGGAGAGTTTAAGGCCCCCAAACCCATACCCTCGGTACTGCCATTGCCACCAGTCCCCACGCTCCTCTCCTACAGGCTTGCTGCATGTGGAGCACCTCCTTTGAGTTAAAGCACTGTTTTGAAAATGTCCCTCCTAACATGAACCAACTAGGCTACTCAGTGTCTTTTTCGCCGTTTCTACCCAGGATTACATTTACAGACAGGGACTACAGACCCAGAGATTCAGTGGCACAGAAAAGTGACTTTGGGATGAGGCAGCTACACTCAGCACCCCAGAGCCCTAGGAGCTAGAGTCGCGACCCAATGACTTACCAGTGAGTAACTGAACTGAGGGCAGCTGTTCAATTCCTTTGAGTCTTGGTTTCCTCACCCAGTGAGGAGGAATAAAGCAACCTCCGAGGCCCTTGTGAGGAGGGGCACAATGCTAACACTTCAAGGGCACTTCTGCGAGGGAAACTATACGTGGGCTCTGAATAAAGACGAGAGGGGGAGAAATGAGCTCATGGTGAGGACGCACCAGAGGAAATCTCACTTTCTCATTCTTCCAGACCTGAGTCCAGACTCCGTGAGCAAAACTTATCATGGGCTCCCTCTGCTGTCCATTCCTTTTTTTAAAAAAAATCTTTTAGGATGTTATTAATATTTTATTAATGTCTTATTAGTTCAACTCACAAATTGTGGCAAAGATTGTGCATGTACTTTTCAAAAAGATTTTGACCCATGGATAAATTGAAAAGTGAATGTAATGAATTAGAATATTTTCCCATGCTTTTATAACTACCTTTAGTCTCTTTCTGCATTTTTGTCTTATAGCTAGAGATCTGAGGCATCTCCTCATGTGTAACAAAATGTATGAGAGGTACAATGACCACATATTACAGTTTGCCAGCAGTAGTCTTGGTATATGCTTGTTGGCTCAACAATTCTCTTCACTCTGAAAATGTCCCAGTCAGGATGATAAATTATATGATCAGTCTGAGAACAAAGTACACAGTTACTGGTATTTGTGCATGGAATCAATCTTTTAGGTGTTTTAATGTTATTTGCTTCATCAGTTTATCTTCAGAAAAAAATTCTATTAACTTGAACTGAAATTGTTTTCCAATATTTAGTTTCAATAGTTTTTAGATTCATTTTGATTACGAATTTATACTTAATTTTGTTGGCATATGTTTAAGCGGAGACAAGAATAGGACTTGCAGCCCGGGTTTACCAGGCAAAGTTAGCTTAAGTGTTTGTCCATCCTCTAGTACAGTTTTAAAATTTTAATAACTGTAGATTCTACGTTAGCTAGACCTCACCTGTAAATCATGCTATTTTGGTGCCTGATTTTTATTTGTGTCCAAAATCGCATTGTATCAAATGACATCGAAGGTTATTTGACTTCCAGAGTGTTGGTAAAAATGTCTGACCCTTAAGATGAAATGTTCTAGTACCAAAATAACAAAAATTATCCCGTTCCTGCTCTTGTACTCATATTGACTTTTTAGCATTTGTTAAGAAAAAATTATTTTTTGCAGTAAGCAATCAAGTCACATGGCATTTTAATACAGAAAAGCTTTACATTGCTTAATAAACTGTGGCTTAAAATAACAAGAAAAAATTGGAGTATTGGAGAAATGTGCTACTTTAGTTACTGTGTAATACTGAGGAAAGAAGAGTGGCAGAAGTTAATGTATAAATGTTCTTTAAGAGAAGGTCAACTTCCATCTCAATCTCATTTAAATATTTCACAGTAGTTCAAATAAAGAAAAGTTTTGAGAGAATCAATTCATGGCATTCCATTCAAAAGAAACAGCTATATAGTATGCATGTGCATGTGTATGTGTTTACCCTATTTTATTGTGAGTAGATGCTGTTTACCCTCATCTTCCTGTGTAAAATACGACGTGCCCAGATTCCTGAATCTGGGCCACAAAATGCACATGCCCCAGTTTACTCAGTGGAGTGCTGTTTGCACTTTGTTAACATTATTTCTTAAAAATTTTCTTCCCTTTCCATTTTGTTGTTCTTTGCCTAACTTTATGCCTTTGTCTTATGCCTAGGTTGGCCCTCCCATCACCAAAGTTCTTCACAATCTGCCACTCCAGAAAACAGTCTCTTTATCTGTAAAAAGAGATTAAATATTCTCTGAAGTTCAAGCCAGTAAATGACAGAACTTAAGCTCAATAACATAACTTGTGGG